GGCCAACGATCTTTCTCGTTAGTTGAGCCGCTTTATGGTAGGCTATACGAATATTCACCGCTGTGCTATCAAAAACGTAACTTCCTTTCATGTGTAGTATGGCTCTCATCTACTTTGTAGCTTTCGATCCACAACTTCGTTTTCGTCAGGTTATCGCAACTGAAACTCAACTGAAAGCCTCGTGAAAGTAATCGAAGTCTTATGACTCGTATTACAGTATATAAGGAACCTTTAAGCCCAATTTTCACCGCTTTCCGTATGTCAGTCGAAGTACGCCTTTCGAGGGTAAACTTGTGTCGCCAGCGTAAACATATAAAGTTTGTATTTAATCATTTTATTATCCACTGAGGCTGAGCAAAAATATATTCCGGAAGTGACCTCAAGTGAATTCCAAGAATTATGTGGGAACTCCTAGCCTATTTTGACTATGTGATTTACGAAGAAAGTGAAAGGTTTGATYATATATATTCTAATGAAAATACGCGTGAGATTATTACTAGTGTTAGAATAAAAAGGAGGAAAATATAACCAATTATTTGCAAGAGAAGTTCATCGTTCAAGAAGCAAGAGTAAGTCCATATTATTTAAAACAATATTTCTAACCAGCTGAAACAGGTTTGACCAGTGTTTGTTTTCAATGCCACGCAGAATGGAATATTCCGCAGGCAATATACATGGGACTATCGTCAGATAAGTTCGTTGGTCGCTTGTGATGGACAACGTTATTATTCCGGTACTCTTCGTTATCATTTCAGTTTTTAATAAAGGAAATTTATATGAATATTGATATTTATATATCATTTATATATCATTTCAGTTTTTCCGATCTTCAAAATATCGATCGTGTATCTCTGCTCTGTAGTGTTTCTTGTAKAGACACCGAAATCGGACGATAAATTTATGAAATAGATCATTTTACTCGAGAAGATTTTTTAGAATAGAATCTAAATTTACGGTATCTTGAAGATCATATCGTCATCAGTAAAATCGAGTTCACTAATATTCTAGTAAAATAGTTATTGTAAATAGTCGTTACTCGTCAACAGATCTTAAATAAATCAGTCGTAGGAACGTAGGTATTCAACTCTAGTCGAAAGGGAAAACCTGTGCTTCTTGGGCTAAAGCTTCGATAGTGAATATGCTTCGATTCCTAAAGCACTCCGTAGACGAATATGCAACGTTTTCCATCGAAAAAAATAACTCGYAATTTATCGATTAGTGGAGTAAATAAGGGGTTTTCGAGAAAAGACAGTACAATATTTTAAAACTGCTGAGCTATGATATTATTTACTAATACATTATTTTGAAGAGTTGATTTTCTTACTTCCGTACAACGCGAGGCCATCCTGTATATTTCTTGGAAATGAACTCCCCATTCTCGTACCCAGACTCTCGGTGGCATTTGTGGCGTACGTTGCTAATAATAGAGAGTTTTAGATTGACTTTTTT